GGAATAAGATTATTTTTTAAAATAAAAGAAATGAATGGCATTAGTGGTATGTTTAAAAAAATAATTAATTTTATTTTTATTATTTTTATTTAGAATTTGAAATAAAATATTTTTTCACACAATAAAATAAAAAAATAATTAAATTTTTTAATGAAATATTATTTTGCTTAGATGGAACATTCTGTTTTCATCTATTGGTGACAAGAATTGCATAAAAAATGTAATAGAATGGTGAAATTGTATGAAAAAAAATTAGAGTGATAAATATGAAATCCTCTATCTAGTAGAGTGATATATTTGACCTTTATTCAAAATTTTTTGTTTTGAAGTTTTCAATTATAAAATTTAGAGAAAAATAAGTTATTAGGTGTATGTTTGGTGCATAAGATTATGATATGATAGAATAAGATCATATTATGAATAAGATTAGATTAAATAATGGCATCCTATCTTTATTTGATGTGAGCAATAATTAAGATAGGATAATTTTATTTATCAATCAAAATTATCCTTCCTCAAAGTTTATGCGAATTAAATTAGTGATTAATTTTTAAAGTTATAATATGATATATATAAATTTATTAATGGCATTTTTGGGTGTCTTATTTGGAAGAAACTGGTAGGAGGTTGAAGGTAAGGTGACCTGAACTTGTAGCCAAAATGCACAGTCAAGGGGCATAAAAGTTGTTCTCTAAGACGTGCTCTGTCACTCAAGTTATTGAAGTATTTAGGGTTTAAGAAAGAAGTATGTAAGGTGTGTGAAGGAAATTACAATGGAATGAATGCATAAATCATAAGTTCTTACGTACTCGGTCATCTTCCTTACCTTATATATAAGATACTGTATGGTGACTCAACTAAGACAATTGGCAGTTGTTGGTAAATTTATGTAGAGCTCTAGAAAGGTTCATGTGTGTGACTCCAAGCGGCATTTAATGATCCTAAGCAAGCGTGGATTGCATTTAATGGTCCCAAGCAAGTTGGAAATCAAGTATTTAGTTTTGAAGTGATGCCTTGATGGGATGTCAGTAAGGTAATTGGGCAAGCCCTTCTTTGACGAAGGTCGAATCTGTTCTTAAAAAAAAATGACATGACAATTGAGCGTATATTAGCTAGGTGCCCAAAGGAATTAACCATATTGACCAAGTAAATAGATATAACAATTGTCCTCTAAGAGATTATAAAGTGATCACCCTCAAACTGTTATGGGAATACGTGCTATACTGATGAGGCAACTTTAACTTGACGAGTTGCTTTTGATGACGTGTCCCTACAAGGCAAAGAGGAAGTGTCTTTACAAGGCAAGCAGTGCACTCTTAGCGAGCTGCATTGATGATATGTCCTTGTTAGGCGAAGAGCGTGCTCTTGGCGAACTGTGTTGTTGATCAAGGCATAGGGGTAGTGGGGACTTAAGAAAATTATAAGGGAAAAACTGATGCTCTGTGTTGAGTGCGCATAGGTGGAGTGCATCTGTTGAGGCAGTGCAGGGCACGTGCCCGTGTTTTTGAACGGTGTGGCTGTTAAGAACATATGGTGTGTAGGAATTGGAGAGTGGTTAGGTGTAATTAATTATTTTAAATTTTTAAAATGAATCACTTTTGCAAAGGGGAATGGATGTGTTTATTTGAAAGAGGGTAACCAAAAGGTCTGAGTTTTTATGAGGAATTAATTTGGACCATTTAGGAATCGATTGAAACAGTTCGAATTTGTGCCATTTCAAGGTGTCATTTAATGTTTAAAACAATCTCAATTGCCACCGTTTCACTTGTGGTGTTTGGCTGAGTATAAATGGAACATTTAGAAATTTTTTAGACACCTCTTCTATTTGCTTTCTAAAGAAGTTTTGCTACTTATGTTTATTTGCTATTGTTTCTGTGCTTCTTAACTATTCTTCGAGTTTTCTACAAAAGGTTTTTTGTTTGGTAAGAAAATTTTTTTTTGTTTAGCATTTTTACTAGTCATTTGAGATAAAGAAATAGCACCTAAGAGAAAATTTGTGATTGAGAGCTCCAGCCACGACGAAATGGCTAGGGTACTGGCCATCAACACTAGTGACTAAAGTAGAGGGGAAGGGACTCAAGGTAAAGGCCACGGAGGCCAACTAAGTAGGGTAGTTGGAGGCCGCAGGCATGACATTGGGATTAAGGTGGTAGGGGCCCCTCTTACTGATGTGAAAGCCCTAGTAGCTGGGAAGGGGAAAGGGAAGAAAAGTCAAGGCAAAGAAGTGATGGTAGAGAAGCCTAAGGATTTGGCTCTAAGGACATGGCCACCAGATGTGTGCCCTTCCCATACTATGCCAATCATGGTAGAGCCAATGCTAGATTGTGTAGCCTTCGACCCTTAAGATCCCATGTACGAGATATCCTTGCCAACTCTAGGCTTCACCATTAGCCAACTGGGGTATTTTGAAGAGATGGCAGGGTTCTACCTGTATCATTTCAGGCACAGATTTGACTTGCTATTGCATCTTTCCTACATTTGGTTCTGGCCACATTCAGTGTCATGACGTAGCAGATAGCGCCAAATACATGGGCGATTCTGGTCACATACCTGATCCACTGCAAGCCACAAAATTGGGTGCCTTAAAGGGAACGTGATCCTGGCATTGTACATGCTACAGGAGATTAATGGATGCCTCTACTATCTCAAGGCATGTAGGAGGTCTTGCATAGTAGAGTTACTTTCAAACAGTCACTCCCACTATGACCGGTACATTGTGGCATTTACCAGGATGCTACGAGTGAGGTTTCTATTCAAGATTATGTGGTTTTACACCAGCGCGCTAACCAGGGGATCCTTGAGCTTGGAGATGATGAAGCCAAGCAAGTCAACGCCTCGAGGGATGCCAAAATTTCCTATCAAGAGATGACCATGTGTGAGAATGTCCGTGACTATTGCCTAATCTTAGGGGAAGACCAGGCCTTAGTCTAGGGAGTGTTGGACAAGCAAAAAGGTGGGAAAAGAGGAGTAGCCAAGGACAAGGAGGAGGTGGCTTCCCGAGGCAAAAAATGTAAGTCCACCATTTACTTATTGTGTAGTATGTTGTTGTTGCCTTGAATTGTGCTGTTTTTAGGTTGTTGTGTTGGTTGACTTGTGTTGTTATGTTGTACTGGCGCTACTTTGTAACCTGTGATTTTCTTCTTCTTGTTGTTGTGAAGAGGGTTTGGGAAGGCCAAGAAGCTTAAGGCCCATTAAAAGGGTCCACCTGTAGAAGGCGTGCAACAGGTGCTTGAAGATAGGCCGAATGAAGCTTAAGAATTTAAGACTTAAGCATTCCTAATTTCTAGCTTCCTCCACACACCTCACTTCCTTCCTCCTCAAGCCTTAAATACCTTACTACTTGAGTACTGGAGCGCATCTTGGAGAACCAACTGTGTTGCCCTCTAATCATACTTTTTGGCAACAAGTTCAAGTCACCTTACCTTAAGCCCTTTACCAGCTCCTTCCAGCTAAGACACCTAAAAATACTATCAACAAAGTTTAATCTCATATATTACAAATAATTTTTTTTACTTTAGGAGGATTGAATTATCCTATACTAAATGAATGATTAATTTTTCTTGTAATTTTATCTTTTTTTTTAGATTCAAAGCAAAAATGTTATATGATGATTATGATCATATCCTATCCATTATCCATACAACAAACATAACTTTTAGGCCACCTTTGGTGCATAAGATGATAAATAAAAATAGGATTCCAATCATCTTATATTATATTTTATTTGTATCTAAAGAAAGGGATATGATTGAAAAGAGAATTAATCATCCTCTTGGCATTAGATTATTCAATCCTTCCAAAATAGGATAAATTTTTAATTCATGAGATTAAATTTACATGTCTTATTATATCCTTCAAAATTATATTAATAATTTAAATTTTATAAACTTTAAGAAAGAATAATTTTGACCACTAAATAAAATTATTATATCATAATCCTTGCACAAATTAAATACAAAATAAAATGATATTATTTAATCTAATCTTATTCATAATATCATTTTATTTTATCCTCTCATAACTTTATACATCAAACACATTTTAATCTCTTAAATCAAGATTGAGATATGTTGATTTCAACAGAATATGAAATTTAAACATTTAAAATTAGTATGAATAGGAAACCACCATGAATAAAATTCAAACTCAAAATTATTTATTAATGAGACATTCAAATTAACTTCCTAATTCAACCAATTCCTTGTTAGCAATATTCAAGACACCGTTGCATTAATGTTTAAATTCTTTCATATATTTTAAATTCTTTTGTGAGTGTTTTGGGGCATATTCGAATGTTGTTTTGCTTGATCCATGGAAACTTAGCGTCAACTAACACAAATTGCATGGACGCTTGCAAGGAAGAATATTCACAAGATTGCAAAAGAGGACGGCAGTTGTGCAAATGGACAAATAGGAAAAGGTTAAAAACAACTTTCCCCAATAGAAACAAGCAGTGTATGTTAACAGACAACTCATCAAATTTAATTGCAAAACATTAGTGTTTATCGTTTATCAACTATGCCGGCACTAAGCACAAAAATGAAATTAGATGAGCTCAATATCATCTATGTTAACGGACCAATGGAAAGTAATTATATAAATGAATAAAAATGATGTTAGGGAAAGATGGCCAATGCTTTGGGACGTGCAGACTTGGTGCAGATACATACTATTTTACTTTAACCTTTTGAAATTAGCTGCTGATATCCTGACAAAATAGCTTCACTAAGATAATTGGTTTTCATTAATTAGAACAAATGAGAATTTATAGCTTTAATTAAAATGAATTGACTTAATTCATTATATATTCTCTGCTGGTGAATTAGATGGTGAAATCGAGCTAATAATCCAAGTAAATAGGTACGCCCCAGCTCCTGGAGTACACGTAACTGAAAGCCCCTGGATATGAGTATAATACCATTCTACATATAGAGAGAGAGAGCAATTAGGGCCCTATAAATAATCTGTACAGCAACTTCAAGAGGAAGATCTTTGTAGAAATGGAGTCCAATGTTGAAAAGAAGAATGATGAACGTGATGATGGGGTTGGTGACAAAGTAGAGGCAAGAACAGCAGCGGGGTCATTGCGCATGGTTTTGAAACTGGCAGACTGGAAAGACATGGTGTTGATGGTCCTGGGGACAATAGGGTGTGTTGCAGATGGGTCGGCCATGGCTTTGATCTTGGTCGTTCTTAGCAAGCTAATGAACAGTTATGCAGCTGGTGCTTCTTTCAACTTTGGAGTCATAAATAAGGTTTGTCAATAACACATGCTGGAAAACTAGTACCATTATATATTGAAGTAACCTAATATATATAACCTCACTGTATCTATTTTTCTACGGACACCACAGTTTGCATTGGATTTAACCTACGTAGCTGTTGGAGTGGGTTCTGGCGCATTTCTTGGTACCTTTTATGTTTTTCAGTTTATGTTTTCACAAATTAATCACTTCACGAGCTTTAAGTGTAGATCAATCATTCATGCCTTAATTAAGTCGAGTCGATCCTAACCAAGTACCAAACCCAAAATGAGCAGTATTTAGGATATGGGATAAAAGGATAAAGGCATATAAATAATGTTATAAGGATACCGAGACTCATATTGACTGGATGTGTGCTTTATACAAGTTTTGGCCATGGATAAAGTACAATAATAATAATAATCTTTATTCTCAGAACCACAAAACCAGGCATATACTTTTTTGCATCAATGACATGAAAGGAAAAACCAAGTACAAGAATGGTTTTTGACTTTATATTGTCATCAAACAAGCTTGAGAATCAAACGCATGTTTAACTGCAAGTGCATCGTATGTTTCTGAAATCAATATATTGAAAAATATATATATTTTATCTGCTCCAAGTCTATGTCTAAAACAGACAGGCAACGCCTTGACTCATCATGGTTTTTTTTTTTTTAATTACCTTTTGGTCTTTAATAGAAGGATTCTGTTGGGCTCGAACTGCGGAAAGGCAAATCTCCAGACTAGGTAGGAAATATTTAGAAGCAGTTCTGAGGCAAGATGTTGGGTTTTTTGATATAAATCATGGGGCATCCATGACATCCCAAGTTGTTAGCAGTATTTCTGATGACACACTGACTGTACAAGGTGTTCTTACGGAGAAGGTCCAAATCCTTAACATATGCTTTCATCATAATCAAAAACTTTTTCTCGTTTATGCCAACTCTCAATCAATTAATATGCAACATACATGTACAGATAGCAAATTTCATCACAAATATATCGATGTTCATCACAGCTCAAATTGCCGCTGCGTATCTTAGTTGGAGACTGACTATCGTTGGTGTCCCTGCATTGTCAATGTTGATCATTCCTGGGATAGTATATGGCAAGCTTTCCGCAGAGATTGCAAAGAGGATGCAGCAATCTTATGCAAGTGCTGGTGGAATAGTGGAGCAAACATTGTCCTCCATAAGAACCGTTTACTCCTATGTTGGAGAGGATCAAATGGTGAAGAGCTATAAGTCTGCACTAGAGCCTACATTGAAGCTTGGTATCAAACAAGGATTAATCAAGGGAATGGCAATGGGTAGTATTGGAGTTACGTTTGCAGTGTGGGCACTTCAGGGTTGGTATGGTAGCACCTTGGTCACCAACAAGGCAGCCAAAGGCGGGGATGTATTCGCTGCTGGAGTATGCATTATATATGGAGGGCTGTAAGTTCGATATCCTTCCTTCCAACTACAATTTTACATTTCCTGAAACGCGGTTACGAATAAAATATATTCCCATCTGCTCAAGTTCTCTCGAACAACTTTTATCAATGTAATAAATTGATCTTGCAGTTCTCTTGGGAGTGCTCTAATAAATGTTAAATACTTTGCTGAGGCAAACGTGGCAGCTTCACGGATATTTGAGATGATTCAGCGAGTTCCTTATATCGACTCTGCAAATCAACAAGGCAAGATGATATTAGATGTCAAAGGTCAATTGGAATTTGAAGACATAGACTTTGCATATCCTTCAAGACCAGGTAGCTTGGTATTACAAAGGTTCAGTCTAGCAGTAAAAGCCTGTCAGATTGTTGGTTTGGTTGGCAAAAGTGGATCAGGTAAATCAACGATCGTAAATTTGATTGAAAGATTCTACGACCCTCTTATGGGAGAAATCCTCCTTGATGGCATTAACATAAAGGAGTTTCAGCTGAAATGGCTGCGGAGTCAGATTGGTTTAGTTAGCCAAGAAACTATTCTTTTCAGAACCTCAATCAAAGAAAATATTCAATTCGGGAAAGAGGATGCGACAATGGAAGAGATCGTTAGAGTGGCAAAAGCAGCCGATGCCCACAACTTCATTAGTCAACTACCTGATGGTTATGATACTCTGGTGAGCATAAGGCTGCAAATGTTTGTTTCTTCCAGTGTCATGCATTATTTTATTCATCAATCAAATCTCTACTATCCGTTACCATCGAGTGATTACGAATTACTAAGACGTGAGTTTTATGATTGATCTTCAGGTAGGAACACTGGGAATTCAGATGTCTGAAGGGCAGAAACAAAGGATTTCCATAGCAAGGGCATTGTTAAGGGACCCAAGAATCCTGCTGCTTGATGAAGCTACGAGCGCACTGGATTTGCATTCAGAAAAGGCCGTTCAGGTAGCCTTAAATCATGCCTCAGAAGGACGAACCACTGTTATCATTGCGCATCGCATCTCAGCTCTCCGCAATGCCAACTTAATTGCATTTATACAAGCAGGACAAGTTGCTGAATCTGGTTCTCATGACCAACTTATGCAAAAGAGGAATGGCCTGTACTCAGCAATGGTGCAGCTGCAAAGAACTTTAATAAATAATGAAGTAAGACCAACATCAGCTGCTAGTGAATTTAATAGCTTTGTTTCACAGGAAGAAGGAACTGCTTGCAAACAAGAAATAGAGGACAAATTGGTTCATGACAATTCCATTAAAGAGAAGAGTATCGTCCAGTGGCAAGAAGATCAACAAGACGATCAAAAAGGTTCCCCATCTATATGGCAGTTACTTCGAATGACTGCACCAGAGTGGAAGTCAACCCTGATAGGTTTCATGGCCGCTCTTTGCTATGGACTAATTCAGCCATTGCACTCTTTCTGCCTTGGTGCTCTTCTATCTGTCTATTTTATAGACAAGCATGATGAGATTAGGTCACAAACAAAAATTTACTGCTTTGCCTTCTTGTCCTTTGCTATATTTGCTCTCATCACCAATGTCATTCAGCATTACAGCTTTGGGATCATGGGAGAGCGCTTGACAAAAAGGGTGAGAGAGGCTCTTTTTGGCAAGATTGTGACGTTTGAGATGGAATGGTTTGATAAAGAAAACAACAGTACTGGGGCCCTCTATTCAAGACTAGCCACAGACGCAACTATGGTAAGAACTCTTGTTGCTGATCGCTTGTCATTTTTGACTCAGTCTATCTCAGCAGCAACTCTATCAGTTATTTTGGGCATGGTGTTGTCGTGGAAACTTGCACTTGTATCCATTGCTCTGCAGCCACTCATCATTGGTTCCTTCTATACTAAAGCAATAATAATGAAGAGCATGTCTGAGAAAATACTCAAAGCACAGAACAAGAGCAGTGACCTAGCAAGTGAGGCGGTAGGAAACCATAGAATCATTACAGCATTCTATTCTCAAAAAAGGGTGTTAGAACTTTATGAAATTACACAAAAAAACCCAACTAAAGAAAGCCATAAGCAGTCTTGGATTGCAGGGTTTGGATTGTTCTTCTCACAGTTCCTCACAGCTGCCAATCCAGCATTAGTATTCTGGTATGGTGGGAAACTGTTGTACCATGGGGATGTCTTGTACAAGCACTTATTTCAGACTTTCTTCATCCTGACTACAACTGGAAGAGTCATAGCAGAAACAGGAAGCATGACCCTAGACTTAACGAAGGGCACAACAGCATTGAATTCAATTTTTATGATTTTGAAAAGAAAAAGTAAGATTGATCCGGATGATGTAGATGGCATTAAACCAGAAAAGATTAGCGGAGATATAGAGCTTAAACATGTGGATTTCTACTACCCATCCAGACCAAAACAGATCATATTAAAGAATTTATGCCTACGAATTGATGCTGGAAAAGTTGTTGCTTTAGTTGGACAAAGTGGGTCCGGAAAATCAACAATTATTAGATTGATCGAAAGGTTTTATGACCCATGGAGAGGATCAGTTGAAGTTGATGGACTCGACATCAAGTCCTATAATCTACATGCTCTGAGGTCACATGTTGCATTTGTAAGTCAGGAACCTAGTATTTTTGCAGGAACAATTCGTGACAACATTGCATATGGCAAAAAGAATGTAACTGATGCTGAAATAGTTGAAGCAGCAATCACAGCAAATGCACACGATTTTATAAGGTTTGTTTCAATTATATACAAATCAGCATGTTCAGTATTCTCTTTATTTATATAATTCTTTGTCCATCAACCGATTCTCTTTCTCGGTTCCTAACTATCTATGCAAATTTTTTGTCAAACAGTTCCATGAAGGATGGCTATGCCACATACTGTGGAGAAAGGGGCACACAGCTATCAGGGGGACAAAAGCAAAGGATAGCACTTGCTCGAGCCATCTTGAAGAATCCTGCAATATTGCTATTAGATGAGGCAACAAGTGCACTGGATGTCAATTCAGAGAAACTCATTCAAGATGCATTAGAAAAGACAATGATAGGTAGAACATGTGTTGTTGTGGCTCATCGACTATCTACCATTCAAAAGTCAGATAAAATATCCGTGATTGACAACGGGAAAGTTAGAGAAGAGGGAACCCACGGTGAGCTGCTTGCTAAAGGAGAAAATTCTGCTTATTTCACCCTGGTAAAACTCCAACAGCTTGCCGCCATGTGACATTAAGTCCTCCAGATAACTGGCTATACTAAGAAGGAAACAACTAGTTAATCCTGAGACTGCATAGAATTAGGCAAACATTTGGCAGCTTTCACAGGAAAATGTATAAAATCAGCAAGTCAGCTTCAGTCTGCACAACTTCATCTTCTTTTACTTCATTTTAGCGAGGAATGCAATGTTAAGCATGTATTAATTACCTCTTTGACTGTGTCCTATTAGCTGTATAGGTTTTTTAGTTCTCCTTTTCCACAAAAAGAGGTGCATCAATTTTCTCTTTTGATTTTTATCACTTAAAATGAAACTAGAATATAATATTCTTGGCCAACGCTGCCTAGTTTTGACCCCAAGTGGACATCCCAGATGGTTCGACGAATCTTACAAAGGAGAGGTAAGGTTTACAAGATCGGAGGGAGCTACCTCATCGTAGGGAACTAGGGATGGCAGTATAGCCCAAGGTCCCCAAGCCCAACGAGACCAGACCTTGTAGTCACGGTTTTTCTTACTTTAAATCGAAGTTGAGTAGGGGTGAGAAAATTTGGATCAAACTCATTTAACCAACTAAAATTGACCGAATTTGGTAAAATCAATTTTAATTTTATGTGATTTTTTTATTAAATTAATTAAATTGATAGGTTTTTAATTTTTAAAATTAATAATCGAAATAATTAATTTTTTAATAATTAAATAGTAAAGGGCAAACATGTAATTTCTCATTTAAAAAAACCTATGTCTTCTCCTAATCCCCTAAGACCCACACCCCCAAAACCAGAATTGCTTTGCCCCTCCCGTCTTCTTCTGAGTTTTGCCTCTCTCAGTCTCATTTCTTTCCTTCTTTTCTTCTACTGCTGATTTGTTACTCTGCTGCTAATCCCCTCAAGATGGCCCCAAAACAAAAACATGATCTCAAATCAAGATTCCATCATCGATCGATTTGCACGAGATAAAAAAGATCGAGGACAAGACTTTCCTGCTAATCCCTAGTTGAATCATGGCTAGCACCACTGAAAGTCACTACCGTGAGTACCAACCCAGCCACTTTGACCCATTCTCCAGCCACCATGAGTTCTCTCTTACTTGCTTGTAATCCATCCTTTTTTGTGTTGTTCTTCATTGCTGGTGATCTTAAATTTATTTGATTCTGTTTTGTTTATGTCTATAATTAACAGAAAAAACTAATTTTCAAGGTTTTGTATAGTTAAATTTGGTGATTGTGATTCTAAAAACATAGGGACATGATTAATTGCTCGAAAGATGCTTTTTGGGGGGTTTTGGAATGATGATGCTAGATTACTTAAATTTTAATTTACTTTGTCCTTTTTGTGTTCTTAAAGAATATTTGACCGAACCGATCAAATCGATCGAACTGAATTAACTTAAGTCGTTTCAATTATGATAAGTTATTTGAAAATTTTCAATCAATTTAGTTATGTGGAAAATGAGGATTAGTTAAGTCGATTATCGATTTTTTTAAATCGAATTGATCAACTGTTCACCCCAAAGTTGAGTTGGATGGGATGGATTTTTTAACATAAATAATAGAGTTGGGATAAAGGTGGATGGAGGTGAAATTAGCCTTGCCCTGACTAGGATATTTACAAATATGCTCGTAAAATTTTTTTTTACCTCTTATAAACTTAAGTATGCACACACTTAAAGTTAAGTTTTTGTTTTACTCTTTCCCACCTTTGATATGCTAAAGTATGAAAAATATTTTCTAAGGGAAGCAATTCCACATTGAAAAAGAAAAACCAAAAAAAAAATAAAAACCATTTTAGTTAGGAAGATCGGAAGCCTTTTGTAATTGAACTAAAGTGGATAAAGTACAAAGTTAAACCATGGGTTTCAATTTCATATGTTGTTGACTTTGCATTAATTAAATATTTAATAAATATTTGATGGAATTGGTAGTTAATTAAATAATAAATTAATATTTTATTTTAAAATTTAATTTTTGAATTAAAACAAAATTTAATTAATTGATATATTTGGGTAATTATATTTGTTCAAAACAAATAATTTTGTTTGGATAGATAAAAACAAATAATTTTGTTTAGACAAATAGTTATGATTGTGCAAATAGACATTCAATTTACTTTATAAAACTTGACTAATTTTTTGAAAAAATAATATAAAAATAATTTATTGAAACACTTTCTCCTCCAAATAATTCTTGAATTTCTTATATAACGTTTCACTATAGAAATTCTTTACAGAAGTGCAATAATCTTGTTATATGTTGGTGAATACTCAATTGATTGATTTTATCAATACATAACACAGTCGATCACTAAATTTTATTGTATCTTTGAGCTTATCATTTGTACCCTTTTTATATACTTACTAAGTAAATAATATAGATAGAGACAAATATAATATTATGAAAAGTGACATTGTAACTTATTCTAACATATCTTCAAGCTTTTTCTTAAATTTTGAAGATTTTTCAAAAATTCTTTGAACAAAGCCACCATTGCCTTTACCTTTTCCTTTAGCCACTTTCATTACTTTGTTCACCTTACCAATGCCCTAGTTTGCTGCCTATTACTACTCCAATGCCATTCTTGTCATCTGCTCCTTTGCTTTTTTCTTGTTTATATACCATTTAAGTCAACTAATGTTCTAACATCAAGATAGTATTTGGTATGAAATGATCATTCAAAAAATCATGATGATCTATGCATGGTAATTAGATTACTGTATTTGATAATCATTTAGTGATTTTATGTGATAGTGATTTTGGATTATCGAAAGTAATTAGATCATTACCTTGGAAGGGGATATAATTCTCATCTAAAAAGATGAAAAACTTTTATCATTGAGGTAAAATAATATATAAAATTAACAATAATCAATATACTCATTTAATATGTAAATTAAAAACTTATTTTTTAAAAAATTAATTGTAATTATTTTATATTATAATTTTTATATTTTCAAATTCATATTAATTATAACAAGTTCAGAATTATTTTGTGTGATTTTGTTAATTTCTTAAAATTTATTTAAAATATACTTTTGATTTTAATATATTAACTTTATTTTTTAATTTAAATATTTTTTACATAATTTATACTATAAAAACTAATTTACTATCAAGAAATATATTTTTAATTTAATAATTTAAATTATTAATATTTTATATAAATTATTATTTTTAAATAAAATTGAAATCATTAACTTATATAGTTTTTATAACATGCATGGCTATTTTGATATTTTTAAACCAAATAATATTTTATTTTTAGTAATACCAAGCATAATGATCTTTAATTACTAAAAATTAATGATTTTTATAGATATTTAATTTTGTCCAAGACGATTTGATCATATTCATTTTGATTTTAGTTCAAACATATCAATTTCGAATGATTCGAATGTTTTGATTTGATTGGATTCATTTTGATTTCATATTAGATATTTGAGATTCGTTTATATGGGTTAAAACCCGATCAATTCAATTTTAAGTCAATTGAACTTATGACCTAATAAAAATCCAAGTTAATTGTTCAAACTCAAAATCCATTTCTTAGCCCAAATTCAATTTTTGAAGCTCAATTCAATTTTTGGTTTAAACTCATGATATGGGCCTAGAAGCCCAAAATCCAAAACTTTCTTTTAGAGTAAAAATGAACAAAACAAAAAAGGGAAACAACAGAGACGAGGTTGGTTAGCAACCTCCTTACTTTCCCTTCCTCTAATTTGTTACACCATTTTTGGCTCTTTCATATTTTACCATTGTTTTTACCTTTTAATTTATAGCATAATTGGAGAAAGATTTTGTAATCAACAAAAAAGATCAAAAGTCGATCTTTTGCAGTATCAACTTTGTTCTTCCATTGAAAGTGGGGTTGAAAAAATCCTTGGAGGCAATAAAATGAAGGTTGGTTTTTGGAAACAAATGACAATCGAAAAAAAAAAAAGCCCTTACTTGGCATTCACCACCCCAGCTCTCAACATCCAGCAAAAAAAACCCACTAATCTCTTCCCTTCTCTTAATCGAATAATGCCTAAGGAATCATCGAAAAAAAATTTTTTTGTCGGATTCTTCACTAAGTAAGGATCATGATATATTTTTAGTTTTTTTTTTTGTGATTTTTGGAAATAAAAATGAAATGGATTAGTGATATTTTTTTTTTTTTTTGTTGGTGTTGAGGCCATGGTTTTAAAAGGAATTGGTGATGGCCAAATGAGTTTGTAAATGTGGGGTGCAATTCATATGTGGGTTTAAGCTGGGATGATTTTTTACTATGACGGTGGGTTAAGATAGAGGTTGTTAATCGGTGGTTCACTAGGGAGGGTGGTGTTTTCAACTGGGTGTGGAGGCTGTGAATGGGGGTGGGATTCAGTTGGGTATGGGAGTAAAGATTGGTGTTAAAATGCTGATGGTTGTTTATGATGAAAAACAGGTGAAGGAGTTGGGATTTTTGCTGAGTGTTTGAAGCTGTTTGAAGGATCTTTTTCTTTTTCTTTTCAATTTTCATGCATTCTTCCCCTTCATTTTTTTTTTTTTCTCTTTTTATTGCCTCATAGGATTTTTAGCTCTATTTTCAATAGAAAAACAAAGTTGATACCACAGTTAAAGATTGATTGTTGGTTTTTTTTTTCATCTTTTTTTTTTCTTTCTCTTTTTTCTTTTCTTTGCCGAACACCCAAATAGTTCACCAATTTTTTTTTTGGTAGGTTCCTTACCAGATTGGTTAGGATGGTGGTTTGATCTTTTTTCATGTGTGATTTTTGAAAAAAAATGAAGGGGGATTTTGCTTCTTGGGTTAGATTTTTAGTTAGGGATTTTTAGGTGATATTTTTTATTTTTTGTTAAGTTATTTATTTGCTTATCTATGCATATTTAATTTTCAAAATTTTTAAAAAATGAATTTAAGTTAAAAAAAGTTGTCAATTTTTTTTAAAAAGAAAAGAAAATTAAAAAATAATAAAAATGAAAATTTTTTCGATGATAAAATTTTTTAAAAAATCATTAGTAATTTTTTAAAAATCTCTAAGTGAGAATATTTTCTTAAAATACGAACAAAATACTAAAATATTTAGAAATATATTTAATGCAAAAAAGTTTTCATTTACTTAAAAATAAAAAATAAAAAAATAAATGTATAAAATAACAAAAAGATTTTTTTTATAAAAAATAAACTCTTAATTCATTGCTTACATGACAGCTTAATGAGATTAGCAGCAAAATAGTACGTGTAACTAGATCGAAACCAAATACACTCATGGAAAGATTTTTCTCAAGCTTTCATTATTTAGTATAAACACATGGTTAACATGGCTCGCGATAGGTTGTCACTCCAGAATATGGAAAAGAAGCCTAATGAAACTTTTAAAGAATATGCTTACTGATGGAAGGATGTAATGGCACAAGTGCAACCACCACTAACAAAGAAAAAG